AAAACAAAACCTACTCATTTCCTGGCTAGGGGAGGTTTGGAAGATGTTAGACACACTGTAAGCAAATCCAGGGTTAGTTTGGGGTGATACAACAATTTCTTTACATTCCAAAGAAATAAGACCATAAAAAAAACCTGTGAAGGTACAGAATTAAACTGCGTATTTTGAATGTATGTAAACGTACACGGGCACAGCAGCCACTAAAGATCAGTCCCACCTTCGCTGGCCGAAAAGGCTCAGTTCAGAGGAGCCCCCAACAAACCAGGGCGTGCACGAGAGCAACGTCTGCTTTCCACGGCTTTTGGAAGCATTCCACAAGAGCAGACACATAATTCTTTATTAAACAATCAAAAGACAACAAGCAAGTTTCTGTTGTCCCACCGTATTATATTACTAATGCTCTTTGGCTGGCAATCAAAAGACCCCGAAGTGCCAAGCTAGGAAAGTGTAGTTCCAAGCAGTGGTAGCCTCTGGCTCTTTGGCTACATCTTCAGTCTGGGCTTTGGCAGACAGGAGGAATCCTGGTCTGTCCAACGGCAAATTCCCCGTGTACTTACAAGGGCTATCCCAGACTTCGTTATTTTACTTAAAGGATACTTTAATAGTCATAAAATATATTTTTTTTTTTCCCTTTAGAAGAGGCAGGTAGGTCCTGACTACCGCATTCCAGAAATGTGCTTTTCTACTTTATCTACTGCCCGCATGCCAAGCTTTGATTTGAGACAGTGTCAGCAGATACAAGACCTTAGTGTGCTGTTTAAACAGGAATTCAGACATACCAGTTCCTCTCAAACCTCTCCAAAAACAAATAAACACTCTGCATCTTCCCCCAGCTATTACTTATATCAGAAATTTAAACGCCATGCAAGTGTAGCAACCACGGCTGTGGCCACACAGCTCTTTAAACCATATATACAGTAGAACATATGTATCATCGTTTTATACCATTAGCATGAAGCGAATTTTGAAAGAAGTCAAACATTTACACGCAGCACGTAAGTAAAACGCCATTAGAAAGTGTGGTGTTAATAAGCTGGACAAATTAGTGACTGTAGTGTGTTGGCATCAAGGTTGCAAGATTGGGTCATGTCACCCCGACGATGCATCTTGGTGCTTAGAAATAAAGAAATAATTAAAAAAAAAAAAAAATAAAGGAAGTGAAACAGCCTGACTTAAGCTTAGAGACACTTAGTTACTTCAGGGTGTTTTCTTGGAAATCGTGGGCTGCCTAGAGATAACACAATGAATTAGAGCAGAACTGGGTAAGAAATGAAGTGCCAACAACAGGGGAAAAAGAAGACAGGGCAGGGCCAGATATCTCTTGTAATACTCAAATTAGGCCACTAATAGCAAAGACAAGCCAGACTTGTGGACATTCCTTGCTGTCAGGAGGTCCCAGTAAATCCCGACCACCACCACCCTGTAAGCCACATCGCTTGGTGTAGCAACCATGGGATGTGGCAGCCTGTTGTCATTCTTACGAAGGCATTAAGCTGCCTCACCCCTTATTTTTAGGCTGGAAATCACAAGTCAGAAGATTCAACCAGAAGCACTGTGCAATGCACGACAAAGCAGCCCGATACTTTGATCAGCTGCTCAGTGCTTTAACAGGCAATCACATGGAATAAAACACGAAATTAAGGAATTCGTTGCCAAACAAAGAAACAAATATCACGCTGAAGAATCAAAGATGAAGAATGTTGTCTCTAAGAATTAGAAGGTCCCCGGAATTAATATCTAGTTTGTTACTGGTTTCAGTTTTAACAAGTGTCAGGCAAAGGAAAAGAAAGTCATCGTGGAGTCGTCTGGATTGTCCAGATACGTTCAGTGCTTCAAAAAATAAACTCAAGGCATTAGTCAACGTTTTAAGATCTACTCCTTAATTACCACTGACGTGCTTGCTGTAAAAGTGTGTATACACTTTTTAATCAGAGGAGGTTATACTCTGAAGCACAGAATATAAAATGTATATGCATGCAGACATACATACAGCAAGACTGCAGTGCACAAGTGTTACAGGGTTCAGCTGTGTATGTAAATATGGCAACTGCTCTAATGCAAGGAAAAGAGATGAAATTTTAATCAAATGAGACTTGTATCAGGTTCAGGGGAACGGAAAATGGGCAAAAAATGAAAAGAAAAAAAATCTAGCAGAAGAATGACTTTAATATTAGGTAACATTTCAAATTTTTATCACCTAAATCCACAAAATTCTTGATGTGCTCCTTCTTGTGTTCTCTGCAGAGCTGAAGTCAGACCAGCTAAATAAAAGATAATGCAACTAGGCATAACACAATAAAAGATATTACCTTCACAATGCATTATTGCTGCCAATTATAAGAATCACTTCAACTTAATTTCAAAGGCACAATCACCCTCAACTGTAACAGTCTCTTTTTTAAATTTCAAACAGTATTACATTAAGGCAATAACTCACCTTCCAGCTATAATATCAGTCTCCCTTATTGCAAAAATGCATTTCATAAATACTTCTCATCGACAAGTCAAGCTAATTCAGGTTAATTTTATTGTATTTTGGTGCTATCTCACATTTGTGTGCAATTACCTTTATCATTTTATTGCCGTGCCAGAAAGTAATCAGAACAATTATTTGAAAAGGGAGGTGTATAAATTCTAAATCACACTTGCTGGCATTTTGATAAAATAGCAGCTTTATCTCAGAAAGTGGCAGGGACATTGGATAAATCATGCATCAGTCAAGTGTAGCTGACCCCCAAGTGCATTGCACAATATCAGGAGTGCTTCAAAAGAAACTTTCCTGTATAATCCATCATTCTTTATAATACCAAAATAGCTATACCTGAAGAGTAGGAGCTGGAGAGTAATAACAAAATAAATCTAAGCAATATGAAGAAAACCATTAATAGTGCTCCTTAAACTGAAGGAGAGTCAGGAATCTGAATTGTGTTCAAGGAAAGAATTTCATTGAAATTGAAAGTGAGTAGGACAGCTTTAAACAAATGAGGCAGCAAACTGTGTATTAAGAATCCACTAAAAATACAAATACATCTACAGGAAAATAAATACACACAAAAGACAGGTGTCAAGAAGACTCGTACAAAAATACGAGATTAAAGTCTTGGCATACATATCTGGATTTTCCTATCGTTATCAATCTCGGTTTGATTCAGAACAGCACGGACAAGCATTTCACTGTATTAACAGAGAGCAAAGCGTCACAGTTAGTACAAGAATCTATTTACCGAGTTTAAATTTAATAACTAAAAGAAATCCAGAGAGGAACAGAATTACACTTCGAATTACATTTCTCATAAAAGAGAGAAACTGCCACATTGTCATAAGAACACCGCAAAGCCCCGAATCTCCTGCATCCCGAGCCCTGCCTGATGTATGCTCACGCACAGAACCACGGCCACATTTCAGCCTCTTCCACACAAACCCAACATACATCTTTGGTCACCGCAGCAGAATCAGGGATGGAAGGGGAGACAAATACAGCGATTGTGGAAAATGCCCACGTCTGGCTGCCTTCAGAACCCATTTTTCAGCAACCTGCTTAAAAACTGTTCAGCACATTACATCGGTGATAATTGATTTCTGCAAAAACCATATGCCAAGCATATATTGTGTGTCACACCGACGTGTGGTTGTGCTCAAAGCAAAACTGTAAGCTAATCACACTATAAATATCACTAAAAAAATACGAGCTACGTTCCATACATATTTAATATGCATCCAGGATGTGGGGAAACAGGACCAGAGAGCAGAGGAGCAGGGGCTGTGTCTGCACAGCCCCCAGCAGACCCTGCTCCCCACGGCAGACGGGGCTGCCAGAGTTCACATGTTTTACCTCAAACCTTCTGCTTTTCCACATATCAAACGGGGAAAACTCCCCTAACAGCTAATGCTGCACCTTTCAACTAGAAGTGAGAGTGGGAGAAATGAAAAGGTTAGATAATAAATTATTAGTTCATGTCGCTCGCCAGCTATATCACACCTAGCTTTGAGAAGGAAATGGTGATTCTTCCTACCACGCTCAGTTGTGCAGAAGGTAATCAAATATTTCTCTGCCATTATTTCAGATACCTGCTAAAAGATGTTTGCAACTGGAAGATACATCAAGATAACTAAATAGCTGATTAACAGAAAAAAAAAAAAAAGTCAGGCAAGAATTTATTTTCTTGAATTTCTTCCTCAAGCATTCCATTTAAAAAAAAAAAAAAAAAAAAAAAAAAAGGGAAAAAAAAAAAAAAAAAAAAGTGGAAAAAAGAAATCTTCCATAAAGGGGCAGAACACACAGAATATACCAAAATATTACTTTCCTAAGCCGCATTACATTACATAAAACAGATTAAAACCACAAGAGATGACACTATTAAGACATTTAACAGTGATAGAAGTTGCCAGCAGGAATAGTTAGATATGCAAGTTTGATTGTACTAGAAATATTTTCCTAGAGGAGCATTACTAATGCTACAAAAATAGTTATTCCACAGGAAAAAAAAAAAAAAAAAGTATTCATATCTTCAAAGTTCATTTTAATTATTTGAAGAATACGGTTATTGACTAAAATGTGTTGATGCCTTTCTCGCAGGAAGGTAAAATTGTTGTGTATTTCTTGATAAACCACCATGTTTTCTTATTTGACTATAAAGTTACTGCCCTACACTTACCTCACTGAAGCATCAAGCCTCAAAATCAAGCCTCTTTTTCAATAAAATGAGGTGTTTATTAGGAAATGGAAGCAAACAGCTAACTTATAACCGAATGTAGCAGTGTCCTGTTAGTTCGTGCTCTGTGGCAGATGGATACGTGATGGGGAAGGGTCCACTGACGCCTGTTACCAACCATGACAGAGCTACAGAGATTTACAATGCAGCATCAATCTTGTCAACTGGATTCTTAATACTGACTGCTGGACACCGGGGAAAAAAAACAAACTATGTTGCATGAACTCTTTTGTAATCCTGGACTTTCCATGTACACCTAAACGCAAAGATATTTTACTAGAAACTTACGTTTGGAACAAGTCTTGATGCCATGGTAGATAAAATGTCTCCACCTGTAAGGCAAAAAATTCTGTTAGAATGAGATTTAATTTGAATTCCCCAGGAAGAACAGTGTATGTCAGCAGTGTCATTTCCTTTATAACCAGCTGAATATCGTTTTACAGATGGGCTCTAAGTTTCAGCATATATGATTTCAAAAGGGAGTTTGATTTATTTTTTTTTTACAAGCAACCAGGAATATGAATGTTCATTAGTTCATCTAACTGTTTGTTACGAGTCAAATGAACAAACAAACAAGAAAAAAAATCAACAGATGGCACATTGAAGACTTCTTCCATAACATGCACTACACAGCTCTGATCTTTTGAGTAAGAATGCCTTAAAAGATATAGTATTAACTTAAGAAATATCTGTATGGGCAGTAGCGCTCCTGAGTTACTTAGTAAAATAAACAGCTCTTCGTGATTTAGGAAATAACACACTTTAAGGCATGAAAGTGAATGACTTTCTTAGTTATATTCTGGGTTTAAAAGTACAGATGGCAAAACACTAAGAATACCTAAGAAATGTTAACTTCAATGATTCTACCTCTAGTCTTCAACAGTATTATTATTTAAATAGCATTAACAAAAAATACAACGGGTTCATCCTTGCCTCCCCTTTGAAATAAAGGATGATTCTTATTTCCTTGGCACTCAGTTCTCTCCCTTCTTATTTTCCTTTCAGTGCTATTTAGCTAAGATCACTGCATCTTGCAAAGACGTGCTATAAACATTACAGTTTTGAAAATCAGGGAGACTATCTGACAGAGCCCAGCCTCAGAGTCCTGACTCACAGCCAACGTCAATGGGACTCTTCCCTTTAATTCAGGGAACTCACTGCTCACAGGAGAGGATAACTGTTATCTGCTTAAGAAATAAAAAATCTCTTAAAAGCAGCGATACGAACATCTGAGTTTTTCCAAGTCCTCTCAAACACATCAAGTCTTGAAGTCCAAGGCCATGACAGAACTTACAGCCACTTCCAAATTACAAGGAAACTCTAATATTTATATTAATATTACATGTTAATTATTTTAAGAGTTTAAAACTAAGATCCTGAATAACAGAACTTAACAGCCACTTCCAAACTACTCACAAGAAAACATTAATATTTAATATTAAATCTTAATTAAAGAGTTTTAAATGAAGATCCTGAATAATTAGTATTTTAAGAGTACTACAATCATATCCTTGCAAGGTAGGCATTGCAAAGATCACTCATTCCATTTTTAATCGTGAAGTCGTTGGGCAGATGAGCAATCTAATAGAATGTTACTTAAAATATCTGTGACAGCTAAAAATAAAATACAGTTTACTTCTATTGTCACGACAGAGCTTTGACTTTCAAGGTGCGTAGTAACACTCTGCTTTTTCAGATTTTTCCGAAGGGTAAAGCTGGAGTATTTGCTTGAAAAGCAGATTTATCCAGCAGCTCGCTTCAAACCTGGGCCAGAGCCCAAAGAGAAGCCCAGGGTGGCAGCGCAGGGCATTAAGCCAGCGCTACACAGGGATACCCTGGAGTGTGCATCTGCCTTTGCCAGGAGGCCCAGGCACAGAGCAGCTGCTGAGAGGGCAGAGGACGGCGTGACAAGACGGCAGCCTGGCCCTCCGTGTCACCAGGATGGCAGCACGCCCCCAGCCCCTCCATTCTGCCTGGCAAAGAAGAATGAGCCCCCACCAAAACGCTCCTCCTACAGGGGTAACCAAGGCAGGCTCATCCACCACCCAAGGGAAACCCAAAGCCTTCCTCCGAAACCCCTCTGCCTTTTGCCGCCTGAACACAACTAAAGTCAGGACACGTATTATGAAGGACCAGCATGCCTATGTGCTTTTGCTTCACTTGCATCAAATGTTAAATAATTAACCATTTAACAGTTAGTTATGCCCCTCTTCCCATCTCCTCCACCTCCTTTGGGTTCTGGTGGGGTCCACTCGCTCTCCACCTTCCCACTGGGAAAGGAATTCCAAGATAGCCGTGGTGAAGGGCTGTTCCCTCAGGACAGCCAGACAACAAGCATTCACCCTGACTGAAGGAGCTCGGAGCCCAGCAGACAGCTCTGGGACAAAACTGCTCAGGAAACATCCTTTTTCATAATACATTCTCGGGTTTTATTTACTTGAAACACAGCCTCTCTCCCTGTTTATGCAAGACACCGTGCCAAATGCCAAAATCAAGTTAAATTTCAAGTTGCTTTAAATAGCATCTAACTTGTGGTGATGAGAGCAGTTTAATTGCTAGCCAGGTTCCACACGATGCATTAATGTTTATCTAAAACTCTCTGCAGCACTGCCATAAGGATGCTCGCATACTTTTATGCGCAATCCACGCAATGCTCAAGAGTAAATCCAGATCAGTCACCAAAATTTTCTTCAATAGCTTTAGGCAATTCCCCTCGACGCTTCCTCCAAGCAACAGTCTCTACAAAGCATGAGGAAAGATACCCAGCTTCTCCTCGGTGTAGGAAATTTATGCCGATCTGTGTTTGTCAAGGTCTTCCCAAATGGTACTTTTGACCTCCTGAACCGGAGAACACAAACTGACTTTGAGTGTCAGCACATACAGCTCACCAGGGATGCAAGGCCTGGTAGGGAAATTTAGCCTGGCTTTGAGGAGATTCGACTTTGAGGAGAATGGGAAATGGGTTCCAACTTTAAGAGAAAAGATTCTTACAAAAGGACTAGCTAGCACCTCACCAGCACCACAGTTCCTCGCTCCCTGCTGGTTAATCCCAAAAAAGCAGTGAAACACTGGGGACCACTGAGACCTTGGTGAGGTTAGTGGCCGAGAAGGACAGATTAACCAAAAGGCTGCACAGTGCCTGAGGAGAGACGGAGACTGATTAGTGTTCATGACCTGTTTCTGCCTTAGGTTGAGCTCAAACCATCTGCTAGTCCAGAGTAGCTTTTCTCTGACAGCAGGTAACTTGGGCAAAGCCAGTAGTGCCCAAGCCACGGCAGTTAGAAGATGACCTGCAGCTAGAAAGGGGAAATCGTACAAGACCACTGCTGTGGGCAAGGAAAAGTCCAAAACATCGCTCCAAAATGCATCTCAAGCTTGCATAGACTGCCTAGTTGGAAGAGGCCAAAATACGCACGACTTAACTTCTTTTCACATTGAGTTGAAGGATTCCTCTAGGCTGATTTTGAAGGCAAGAACCCAATATCTCTTCTTAATGACAAAGGAATTGCCACTGATTAAATTCAATCATGGTACCTCATTCTGGTCATGTTCCAGGAACTGAGACACCAGAATCACTGGACTCATCTTAGAAGACTGAAACCTTATTGTCAGCAACCCCTTCACCAAAATGGAAAATTTCCTCCTGTGTTTGCAGAGAGTAGGATAAACTCAAGGGAATGATTAACAAGCAGAAGTGAGGGAGGGGATTAAAAATATAATAATAATTTGTCCCTATTCTCACTAGCCCAGAGCTGCCTGTCCAGGACCAGTGAAGCCCATCTCCTGTTGAGCTCCTGCCTCAGATCTGAGCTGTGGGACCACAGCTCCTGCCTCAGCTCCCCTTGGCCTTTCAAATCAAGATGTGTCCAAGTTCCCCAGAACTTCTGTTCCCACAGGAGAGCTGGGCAGAGGGTGAAGCCCCACTGACAAGCAGCCAGCCAGCAGGATGCTCCTGAAACACCTGGAAGCTACACAGATGCCTTCAGGCGCTGCCAGGGAGCTCCTGCACAGCAGGAGATGGGATGCTGCAGGAAGCTATCACATCCCAGACCCGCCCCGTGAGCATGCCAAACCTCTGAATATGTCAACAGACCAAAAATTCAGAGAAAAGTCAGAGGTTACATCAAAAATCAGATCCTTAAGGGCCATGAAAAATTTCAACCATATTTTGTCTAGAAGTCCTTGAGTTTTAAGATACTTTCACAGGACTGCAGCCTGAAAAGTACATGGGATGGCAGCACTATGGTAAGAAAGATTAATTAAAAGTATTTTTCCCAGTTCATCAACTTTTAAACACTAAAGGAAGAGTCTCCTTGAAAGACAAGTCCTCAGGATCTGCAGAACATAATAGTCTCTGGTATCAGTACTAAAATTTAAAAACAGCTATTATATCAAGCCAGTATATGAATAAAATTCCATACGAAAACATTTAAAGTACATTAGATTTTTGGTCAAGATGAAAGACTGAAAAAAACTCAAGCAATCTATTCTAATTGGGTTCCCATGGTAACTGTACAATTGGGTTTTTCAGTATAACATCCCAAAGGCCCAATGCACACTTGTAAAATATACTTCAAACAGCCTGAATTGTTTTTACATTACAGCACTCCCAGGAAGATCAATTACTATACATCCCCACCCTAACTATTAGTGGCAGGAGATGTTAACACTATTGGCCATATTAACATAAGTCATGTAAAAAACACCACGTATCACCACCATTATATAAAACTAATTACACACTTCAGATTCATCAAACATGTTCTGAGTAATAAACCAATACTAGTCCTGTCACAAGATCATGTTTAGTGAATGTTAGAAATCAACCCCAAATACGTGCCAAATCATTCTGCTTCTCGTATTGATTTCAAGGATAAACAGAATCAATCATTAATAATTACATTATAAGATGACCCATAGGGTTAATCATATTCTTAGAAACTCTCACTATGGAATCAAATATAGCTGCACAAAAAGACAACTGAAAAGCATTCAAATCCAGGCCATACACATTACCGATAATATAAATCAAGGTGCGTTCACCAACACGTAACTCACGTGACTGGTGAAAACAAAACAGTCCTATTGTTCTTTTTAAGAAAAACGCAAGCATTTATTTTTAAAAAGTTTCTCTCAGATTAAGCAGGTTGCTTTGTTGGGCCTCAATTTCCCTTTTCGAAAGCACAACACCAGCTGCAGACCCAGTCTGTCCTTCCAGACAAGCCTTCTACTCTACCGCCTCAGCCTCAAAGCTGAAAGGAGATGATGATCCATGGCCCCTAAGTAGGATTCAAACCCGAATAATTTACTTATCTTCCAGGGAAAGAAAAAAAAAAATAAAAAAACCACAACTGTGGCCAGTTTGAATAAAGTCAATCTCATTTCTTGATGAACCTGCCGGAAACCTTGGTATTTCAGGGCTTGAAGCCAGCAAATAACCAGAGCTATTTCTGGTGTCAGTAGGAGACGGTGCAAGGGATTTCCCTTTCCCCCCGCCCTTCCCGCCACATTATATCTGATCAGTGGGGAAGATGAAGGGAAAATGGAAATTGTGTGAATTGTTTCTCCGGGACGCTGCTGACAGTCTAAAGGTACCGTCAACCACCGCCACCCCACTGCTGCCAGAGCCAGTTTGTGCATTACACGGGCATTTTCAGACGCTCTAGCATCTTGTGGTTTTTATATGTGAAACTGAAATTCATCTTTTAACAGGGCCTTAAGTATACTTTGGTTGTTTATTAAAAAGTTTAACTAATTAACAGACCCTCTGCATACTCGAGTGTACAAACAACCAAAGATAATGTTATTGTTTGCACTGTACTGGCTGATCTAGCGCAGTCAGATAATTTAAATATTATTGAATGATCATTATGCAGCAACATTTACAAGACAGCATTAATACTTGCTATCTGCTAATGCAGTCACCTGGAGGGAGTTAAATTTGCACTCGGAGCATGTAGATGACACGATTCAGAAAACAAAGCGGGCTGTGCAGCTAATAAATACTACTATACTAAAATACTGATTTCATTAATCTGATTGTAACGCACTAGAAAGCGGCATTTGAAGAATTAAACCCTGAAAATGCACCCATCCTGCAAGACCAAAAGCCCATCTCTTCAGTATCCCACCTTCAACAGCACGTAACCACTACTCCAAAAACAAGGGAAAGCATTTATTTAGTGGTTTTTCCTGGTATACCATCACGTCCCCCAGAAAAGCGGGATTCGAGCTTCCTGACTCAGAAGTGAGATTTCTGACTGTAAAATAAAAGTTAGTTTCTGAGCCCAAACCCAGCATCCCCAGCTGCCTACTCCAAGACCCACAGCTCAGCTACACGCCGGGTAGCGAACGTACGCTGCGATCTGAACCGATGCTCGCTGCTCCTCCGGATGCCGGCAGCTCCTGCTTCGCGAGAGGCGGAATTTTTCTGTACTCCCCCTTGCCAAGCTGCCTGAGACTCCAGGCCGTCTGTCAGCAGTGCTATTTTACCACTAATTCACTCGAAAAGCAGAGGGGAAGTCAAGAGCTTTTATATCAACGAGCCCCCTTCCTCCTCCTCGGGATTAAAGGTGGATTGTTCAGATCTAAGTATTTTTAATCACCTTCAGTACCTCGACTGCACTGGGGAGAATTTCAGCTGCACATCCAAATTCTACAAGTGCCTTGAAAATATACCTGAAATTAATTACAGCATTTCATTTGGCACCATATAAATCAATAAATAGCAGACAGCCCTGACAGACATCAGGACAGGGTGCTTTTGCTCTGCTGATATAAAATAGTAAAGAAGGAAACAATCTGAAAAAGGATTAGCAAAAGGCATCAAACCTGTGACATATTCCCACAGAAAAACTTTTACAATCATTCAACTTCCATAAAAACTCCAAAGCCACAGCAGCTTTATTAACATTCAAGTACATTTGACTTTAATTTTTAAACAGTAGCCTGGACCACACAAATAGATCACCAGTTTTAAACTTGCATTTTGTATTTCTGGAAAAGACTTCAGTACAGGTTTGGTCTGGTTTTATAGTTTGGTTGTTCCTCCAGCTGTATGTTTAACTTAATACTGGCCCAAACGCACCTGTGCTGGGTGACATTAGCTTACAGGAGACAAAATTTAACACAGGATTTTTTTTCCTGCATCGGGAGCATTTTGCTCATTATACCTTCAGGTAAATTACCATAACTGAAGCCTGCGCTGCCACAGGCAACTTGCACAGCTATCTGCAGAGTTAAGAAACTCCAGAACTGGATGTCTGTGGTCAGGACACCAAACCAGGCTTTTTGCTTTTTAATTATGGCATTAATGAAGACATTAAAGAGTTCACAAAACCAGCCAAGACACACACTGAAACCTGTCACTACCTGAAAGATTTCCAGCCTCCTGAAATTAAAACTTTGCCCTGCATTTTCCCATTAGTTATATTCTCTTCACCAGTCCAGATATCTTATGAACACTCAGTAAACTAGAGAATTGCACAATCCGTCAATAAAGTAAGCGTATTTTGAACTACTGTCCATATGACTCAATTTGTCAGTAAAAACTGCCACCAGCGCTGCGCTTGCAGAAAAATGTCCATAAATGCATTATTGCGACTGGCAGATCGATGTCCATAATAAAAACAAATAGATTTAACAAGTGCCTGCTTTTACGAGTTATGCGATTGGTGGGATGTGTGTTCAGCTTCACCCGACAACTTCTGGGAATGGGCAATCCAGGCCGGGTACGGCACTTGCTGACTTCACCAGTGCTACAAACAGGAAATTATTGTAATGCAGGAAATCTTTAAAAGTATTGGACTGAACAGTAATGCCTTCAGGATGTATTTAGAAGTTTCACACATTCAAAATTTAAGGTATTGTTCTGTGAAATATAAAATGGGAGACATTAACTTTCTGAAGCAATGCGGGTTTTGGGGTTGGTTGTTTCTTTTTTTCTCTCCTTGCTCTCTTTGCAAAAAGTAAGTTTAATTCAGGTCAGCCCCATCCCAGGCAGAATAGCTCACTAGTCCTGAGGCTGATGATGAACACCCCAAAAAATCAGGACACACAATTTGTTCCCACGATGCTCTTAGAGCACCAACACCAGAATGACCATCGCTGCTGAATCCAGCTTTCAGTCCCCCCGAGTGAGGATGTCACCCTTTGTCTCGGAGGTGGAGGACACGGCTCACAGGGAATCGGGCACGAGCAGGTAGAGCAGCCAGCGTGCTGAGGGTTAACTCATAAACATCAGTCCTTCTTGTGCCTCCAAAACCCTAACAGCAGGGGAAGAAAATGATACAAAGAGTCACCCATGTCTTCAACATGTTCTCCTCTGGATTTTCTGCATTACTGTTTCTTCTAACAGTTTCCCCTGTCACTGAAGTCAGTTTAAACAGAATTTCTCTGGTGCAGCCTTTCCATCTTATCCACACTTCCCATAACAAACTTAATACTTTTTCTGCACAAGTCCTTAAATTAGCCATTCAAGGAAACCCCGATAACCTTCCCAAAGGGCATGAGCTTCTCCTTCAGGCTACTATCCCTTTAGTGATGCCATTAACTGATTCTCTGCATACGTTAAGCATTAAACAGTGGTGACAAGTTAATTACAGAGTTATCAAGAGATAAAGTAGTCACGGTAACACAAGTTGCAATATAACTACAACAGTTTCCTATAGAGCTTCTGTTCAGTTGCTGGTGTAATTGGTGTAATTAACTTGTCATGGATCAGAATGCAGATAGGAATTGCTAAAGCCACCTTGCAAGCTCACATGGCTACATCTTTTTTCCTCTGAAGCTTGAAGCTTTTAGTAGAACTGTCCACATTTGGAACACTTCTGTTTGAAAACAAAGAAAACAAAACTTTTTACTTGGGAGAAACAATGTCACAGACAAAACATTCACAAGAAAACAAATAAGCAAATTTCACGTAAATGGATTGGTTTAGACGGAAGTATCCCACAATAAGGGGGTGGGTTGTTGCCCCAGAGGCAATAAGCTTTACAAACATCACAGCAGTCAAACACACATGAAGGGACTTAAAAGATGAATCAAGCCAGAGCGGGAAGGGGGAATCTGTTCATAAGGGCAAAATGAAGATTTGAATAACTTGGGTTTAAAACAAGATACTCTGTGGTACCTATGATTCTGTGATGAGGCTGCAAGCACCAGCCTGAACACCAGAGCCAGGTTGTCCCACGTTCACTAACCCTTCGGATCTTGGCGCACGAGGCAGACGTAAAGGCGCGTTGGCTCTGCAGAGACCACACAGAAACCTCCCCAAAGGGGTGCCCCGCGCAGGCGGGGGAGCAGGGCTGCTAAAGGAGACTTCTGGCCCCCCAGACCTTCCGTGGGCTTCCACGCCAGCGGGCAGAGAGGCATTGTAATGCGACAGGAGATCCCCTATCATGGCTCCACTTAAGCTGCGTTTCCATGCGAGCGAGGGAAGACCAAAGGCCACAGAGACAGTTCAGGGAGGGAGAGCCCCTACGCCGCCAGCTTCGCTCCCCCGTGCATTAGGCAGACAGGCAGGGCCGAGAGGCCAAAGCCTCCATCAGGTTCACAAGGGAACCCTGTCAGCTCAACAGACCCCGCCAGAAGATAACCCTCGTCTTCCGCGCAGGGGGGCACAAGCCTGGACGCAAGAGTTACGCTGTGACAATCATTTCTAAACTAAGCGTTATGCCCCAGTTTAGAAAATGGAGGCTTTGCTGCGTGAGACACTGCTGAGACTGCACCTCAGCCACCGCGCTGGAGCTCCACAAAAACGAGATACAGCTCAGTAACAGGTTTATTCGGGAGTTGGGGGCAAAAAGCTGAATCATTCGTTCTTTACACTTACTTTCGGTTTAAGAGCTGCACGCTGTTACATCGTACCTGCTTTACAGACAGTTGCAGAGCTTGGCTTTTATGTCAAGAGGCCACTTCTCTGCGAGCCCCGCTCTGACAGACGTTATTTCAGGGCAGTTCCACGCTGATGTGATGCAACCGCTGCCATCCCCTCGGGATGCACCCACAGCCCCGTGGAAACAACCCCCTTCCACGAGTGCCTGGGCTGGCCACATCCCTGGGGCAAGGTGGGCGGTTGGCAGGAGCAAAGCCTGGGCTTCAGCTTTCCAGCAACATTCCCCGGAGGGATGAGAACCGGCCGACCCCCGGGCCTAGCGCCTGCTCACCTGAGGGGAGGACACCGGGCCGGGGAATTCGGACCCCGGGGAGCAAAGGGGCCCCATCACCCCGCGGGCGGCACAGCCGAGCCGAGCTGAGGGGCTGTGTCCGCCCTCACACACACACACCCGCACACCCCGCAGCTGCTCCAGGGGCCGCGGGTCCAGCCCCGGCCCGGCCGCGCTCCCGCCGGCCCCAGCCCGCGGCCATTT